GTGTGCCTTGGCAGTCGATCCCAAAGGAGTTTTATCGTGGAATAAATGTTTGGATTCAACCAGACTGGACCACTGGCATCTAACTCCGGATGCCGTCAACACGTTGTTTCTGGTAAGCCCTCAATTTGGCTAGCAAATATATTTGTATCATTCAGTTCCCTAATCCAAAAACCTCTTTTTTAAAACACTTAAAGGTGGTTAGCTTCTGTCGTGTTCCTATCGACTGCATATATGCTCCTAACACGCTGGAAACAGACTGTATGTGAATAAGAGAGAAACATGTCTGAGAGAAAACACCTTGCTCGATTTTTCAGTATTAAGCGGTGAAATGTTTTGAAGTACATTTACTCAATTAGTGTGAGTTAACTTCCATGTTAAGGTTTAACATTTTTACTTCAACTGCCCTACATTTTAGAAGCCTATTTTGAGCTGTTTACTCCATGAAATGTATTTGACAGTTCTAGTCACTACTAACTGTACATTAGCAAATCATACATCAACAGTAAATACACATTAAGATACTGTACATTAAGTAAGTCAAATTTGTTCCACCTTTTTGGATGTCTTTTGTTTTTTAAAGTATCTGATTCTGAATTGGGAGATAGCTCATAACAAGTTATATTACTTTTGATAGTGTATTATGATGTTATGATGTAATGTGTACTGTTAAATGCAGGATTTTGAAACAGAGTTTTTCTACAATTTACTATTGCTATACACAATTTAAGATCTGAGTACTTTTTCCACAACTGTCAATACAATGATAAGAAGCATAATGCACACATCAATATTCTGACATGTTTGCCTCCCTGTCTGTTTAGGGGGAAAAGAGGCAGAAAAGCCCCTAGAAGGCCAACATCAGGTTGAGCAACTGTGGCCCCCCGCGGTGAAGACACTGACCTTAAGACTTCCAGCACCAGCGATACAACCGAGCATGAAAATGGAAGAACATACAGAATTTGTAAAGGATGATAACAATGAATCCAATATATAGCATGCATTTCATATCTTATCTTAAAAATAGATACGTCACAATATTCATTATTAAAGTAATATACTTTATTTGGTTCCTCTGGTCTTTTTTTTTGTTTGCATCTGCAGATATTGGGACACTGAGCTAAATATTGTTTACTATTTAGTCTAGATGTTGGGTTTTGAAGTATGCATCAGTCCCACATCCGCTTCATGGTACCCTTACCCTTGGGTTACTTGTGCAGTTGAAGTCCAGGAGTTCCATTTTCTCCAGCCTTGGTCAGCCATGTCTCGTTCCAGCAGCCATTCCTCATCAGGTCTCCCTGGTTCCCCAACACCTGACGAGGACCTCGTTGACGTCCGAGCCAGTCTGACTCTCGCATTAAGGGTCTTCCCCAAGGGCCCTCACTGCACTTGCCACACCTGCCGACTGGGAATCGAACCCCAGTCTCCTGTAACAAAGAAACAGACGGCTGACTTGAGAGCATTTTCACTAATATCTTGTAGTCTGTATGAGCCAGTGTCTGACATGTGAAGCTTGTTTCTTGTTTAGTGACACATTTTTCATCCTGCACCACCATCCATGAACATATTGCTTTTGGAAATGACATATCTGGTAACTATGAATATGTCGGACGTACACATTCATATGAGGTATTTAGATTTAAATAAAAAAGACTATATACTCAATGTTTTGGCACTGTCCACCTTCACCATTATACATTGTTACACACAATGCCTGACCTCTGTGATATAACTCTGCTGTGCATACTGAATGTTGTACTACTAAATTATAATTGTACCTTTTTATCTATGTGGTCTTACAGCAACAAATACGTGCTACTAATGAGATGGAATTCTGTTGCAAAAAGACAATCCAGAAAAATGCCTGAAGAAGCAGCACTCTTACTAAAACTCTCTTCTCCCCTTTAGTTTTCTCTCCTTTTAAGTGTGAATGTTCTCCTGTGCATTGCAGGTGTCAGTGTAACGGCCATGCAGACACGTGTAATGAACACGATGGTACAGGATGCCCCTGCCAAAACAACACCGAGACCCCCTCCTGCCTCAACAACGCTCAGAGTGACCGCAAAGACTGCTACAAGCAACAGGTATGCACTTAAGGCACTTACTATAACATATTATTCACACAGAAGTTGACCATGGTCACTGTTCGCAATATAATCGTTGACTTTCTTTCTCTGCATTGTTAAAGGCAAAACATTTGTTGNATAGATACGATTATAAACTTATTATATAGCAATCCCGGTATGGATATATTTTGTACGCACTTAAAAAAAAAAGTTTTATAGGTTTGTACTAGTACCGTAAATCGTTACGGAGTAAAGGCGAGATAAACGAGATTAAGGTCGAGACAAAAACGTTCCCGCCTAAGACACCCGTTCTACTCCGAACGGTCGAACTGGTGCCGGGGGGACGTTTCCTCCCCCCGCTCCGTGCTCCAGTACAAATCGGTACGACAATGGTACGGTTGCCGGTTGGAATGAGTAGGGCGACTATCCACCTCTCAACGGGATATCCGCCTCGAGGAGCAAAGACTGTAGTCTTGTTAAAGTTTCAGACATAGGGTCAGACATAGTCTAGGCAACGTCGGGGCAAAAATCTCTAAACCCAATGCCTCCTTTCCCTCTCCCAACAAAAAGCCGGTGAACCACTCAGGGACTGTGTAGGCCCCCTGTGTAATATACTATTTTTCTGCATGTTTTCACGTAAAAGTACTATGCCAGGGGAAAATTAAACCTTTTCTTGTTTTTTCTTGTGGGTACAACATGTTTCAGTAGAGTAAAAAGACCGGAAAGGACCTCTTTAACCTTATTAATTGGAGAGACCCGCGAGTTATGCACAATTTACTTTTTGGTTAGACTTTCAAATCTCTTACTCATTAGAGGGACCCAATCTAACGTTGTTGAGTGACCGGTCCAAAGGTAGTTTTGAATCTTAGTCAAATTGGTGTAAAAGGTTTGTTTTTTTTTACGGCAAGACAATACACTTATAACATAACACACAGATAAGTTTTGTGGTTGACGCGTCTTTAGTTTGTCTTAGGTCCGGTAGTTTTTGTAAACAGATAAAGACATTTATGTCTCTACAATAATATCAATTAATAAATGCTCACGGTTGGTTTTCAAACTTATTACCTTTCGTCGCTCGTGTTTCCCGCCACCTTGGTAAACAACAAGAACCTGTCCAAAAGGCAGTGGGGTCGGATCTAGACGAAGTACGACGCACTAATACCTTCGTGAAAAAAAAAGGTTCTCGAAATTTGACTATAACCTCCCTTTTATTCCACACCTCAACAAATACAACATCTAGGGACGTGATCGGGAGAATTGAACGGGAACTCAGTGTAAATGGAATATAAGTTATATATGGAGGTTAATTCCGCAACCATTATCGTGAAATAGACGTCGTCCAATTAACTAAATATGATGTATTTCCGTCGACAACTATGAGGCTGGTGAGTTTAATGAGGGACTTCGTTATCGTACATTATCGTCGCACCCTTTCACGACGATGAAGAGCTCATACGGTTTCGGGGCTTCCCTCTATTCGCACCTGGCAATTGTTTTGCCGTTGCAATGTAGACGTGTGCAAGTTGAAGTTGTTATCCGTGTTCGGACGACGACAAATAACACCCAAAATGTATCCTCGGGAAGTTTATTAAGTACAAATTAAACTGATTGACAGTCCAACTCTCCTATTCACTCTCCACAGGATTTATAACTTTGTAAAGGTATTTACCCTAGACCAGGAGTGTGTTTAGTAGAGCAGAATAAAACTTTAGATAACTTGTTTATCCTACTAAATTCATTGGAGTACCCCTATGTGACCCGTATTCATTCCCCAAACAACTTTATGTGTTTATACATTTGAAAAAAAGTAGAGTTCCTTACGTCTGTCTGCACTATGGCTTCCTCACAACATCGCTACTTGCAACTCTTTTTATTTTACCAACTATAATAATAATCAAAGAGGTTTCCTCTCTTACTAGTTCCGGGTTACAACCAAACGGCTGCTTTCGGCGACGCTCGGTTGGGACTGACGTCCCTCCCGAGCGGACGGTTCCGTCGGATGTGTACCCTTTTTCACTCCGATTTTTCTCGGGGCTAAAAGGCCTCGTCCTACGACTCGCTTTCCCTGGCGGTCTGAGACAGGTTTTCGCACACTTCGGTATTACCCAAGCTCGCTCCCGAGACTGCGTAAGCGGGTAAGTGTCCAGTTTGTTCAAGGGGAGTTAACTCGCCAGCAAGAAGCGGGCGGAGACTAAGTTACCTTCCTCCGTTTACCAATTCATAACGCGGACTAAACTACTTGAAAAGTAAAACAGTCAAATGCCAGGATGGAGGTTTGGAGACGCGGGGGACGGAGGGGGGGGTGGTGTGGGAGTGACCTGCGAGTTGTTCTAACTTCGGTACTGCGGATTGAGCAGGGGTAGTGCAGAGGTATGGTTGGACTGTAAGTTGACAGCCCTTTATGAACTTTCCGGGTACATATCACAAAAGTCAACTTATACTCACTATCACGAGTTCCCTATATATGTCTTTGCCTACAGAGACTTCACAAACCGAGGTTCTGTGGTTTGTCTAGTAACGTCGTAAGGGTATTAGGGGAGATAAAGTCGGGACAAAGGTTTTTCACGACTAAGAGACAGCACATGCCAATCCTACTTCTTATTCCTCGGGGAGGGGTGCGGGGAGACTCCTCTACTAAACAATCTTTTCTTTGTGTCTACCTCGAAGATCCTCCTCTAAGTCCAACTATTCCCACCCCCCACAATGGAACCAACCACTAACCGATTACCGAATGTGTTCGGTTTTTAGAAATACTAGTACGTAATTTCACCGTTTTAGACTAATCGAGTAACAAGTCTGCTCAAAAATATATTTACTAGTCTGTTTTTCTCTCACTTAGAGAATGTGCCCTCCCCCTCGCTACTACAACCACGCGGATCAATTGACATTGTCCCGCGATCTTGGGGGGTTTTCATCCGTCCTTCTAGTCAGCTCCACAAAGACCGATATAAGGATCGACTATGTTCCACACAACACCAATCAAGGTGTCCAGACCATCTATTACTACGTATCCTGGTCCCCTCACAGCAATTCTGGCTAATTCGTCTTACTTATCCACATTATTAGAACACAATCAGAGGTGGGAAGTAGTGGAGTACAAATACTTTGTTTCTGTTGATTAAAGGTGGGGTAGGTAATTCACTTCAGAAACACTTTTTGTTATATTCCATGGAATGCTCTTAACATCCCGATAGCAATGAATATGTTAAATGCTTTGACAATAAATAAATCATACAAAAATGTCATCTGTGGAAGCCGTGGCGCTGTAAAAAGCACGACCAATCATCTGAGCCGGCCCAGCTAAAATAACTGGATGGCCTACCTGCCTGTCAGCCTTCCATCTGTGCACAAACTTATCTCGTGCCCTCATTGGTCATGTGCGCGTTGGTGTGTGTTGGAGGAGGGGCTCTGTGAGGAAGTCTGAAGGAAGGGGCAGATTTTTTCCGGTTGTGTACTTTCAAATTCTAGCGCGCTCGAGCTGGTTTCTCCATTCTTGCCTACCCTGCCTTTAAACTGGATATTCATGCATACAATGTAGGATTTGTACTTGTAATGTATTTAGTCTTTTACTTGAGTAGATCATCTGAGTCTTTCCGCCACTTATTATCCGTCCTGTCCAAATTCTTGTGTTTTCCAGGATTATTAACAGCAGCTCTGCTCTCCAGGTACGCAACTGTGCGTGACTTATGGTAATAGCCGCTGGCAGGAGAGAAAATAAGAGCAGTTATTAAAATTAATGTGCGGTCTAGGAGGAGTTTGTACTGGGCTTTGGTGCATTGGGACCAACATCTATCCTTGTTCTCTGTCAGTGTGTGTGTGTGTGTGCTGTGTGTGTGCATGTGTCCTCCCTGCTTAATCTCAAGTCCAGCCTCCTTTCCATTCTGGCCTTTTCAGATGTTTCACTTGTTGGGCACGGATCAGAGTGTCTTACTTGTCCATCGAGCTGATGCCAGCTTCCCCTCTAGCCTGCGTTGTGTCTCAACATGGTTCGCTAAGCTTCAAACAGACGCCACACTGTACTGGAGCCCCGTTCCCTACTTTGAAGTGGGAATCCTTGCACTTAGCACGTTCTAACGTCATCATAGTTTGGTTTTGATGAGATCCAAATGCTGAGGCTGGCTCTGTCATGCTGTCTCCTTCTGAGCTTCACACTTTATCCCACTGTTTCTCCCCAGTAAACATGACCAGACACTCATTTGACCACCTAAGCTGCAGGAACTGGGTGGTGATGCTCCCGATGTGTCTGTATGTCTGTTCGCATTAAAAGCAATTGGTCCCATTTAATAATCTCCGGGCTGGGGTAGGAAGTGAACATTTAACAGTACATAACTCAAACCTCAGCCACTTTTGAGCAGTAGCCTTTTCTGGGAAATGATTTCAAATGTGTTTGAACAATTTTTCTAATTTAATAAACTTGAACGTAATTGGATAAAATGAACGTAATGTTTGTGTTTAATCTTCTGTGTGTTTTCATAGCAGCTTGTGATTTAAAAGCTAGTTGGAAGTCTTGGCAGAGTTATATAAGCAAAGAGTTTCCATAAAACATCTCAGATCTACTTGATGGATCAGCCTAGGATTTGGTACAGACATTGATATTTCCAAGACAAACAATCCTACTGCCTTTTAATGATACTCAATTTTCATCTCGACGACATGGGATTGCTTGCCTTGTTAAATCTACAGTCATGAAGAATAAACAAAATAACACTAGTTCATTTCTGTGTGTCTGCGTATACGTTTGGAAAGTTCAAGCACAAGGAAACACAAAGTGAAGAATCACATGTTGTTGTTTTGGACAGTTTAAGTCCAGGCACATTTGTAAAATAAGTTGGGAAATAACATTTGTCATGGCTATAATTGATTAAACTTACAGACTGAATGGCGTGTATCCGACAGTAGCAAGAAGTGGTAGGCGTTTTTTCCAGCTCAATCCTGCCTCTGTGTGTAACTAAGGTCTGCCATGATTTCTGTGAACAAATTAGCTTCAGGTTCAAACTGTCATTTCCAAGTTTATGCTTAACTGCATTTAACGGATTTCTGTTACATCACCTTTCTGTTTACACTGAAGCTGCGGGTGAGCGTCTGCAAACAATATTTTATCATTCCAACAAGCAAAGATAAGAATCTAACAGTATTACTCACGCCTTTGAGCTAAACTGCAGAAGCTACTTGTTGCATAAGCCAGGCATGATCTGCCCGTCATGTTTTCCGACTGTGGGAGAAAGGCTCTCCTGTAGAGGGAAGTGTTTGGGTTTTCCATGTGAAGCTTCCAAGCCTCCCGCAGCAGCAGTGTGGTGGCCGAGGCTGACACAGGCCTCTTGAGGAGCTCCAGGATGCCATTAGTTTGAGTGACTGGCTGTGGCTGTGGCTGTGTTTGGGTCTCTGTGCCTTCCACTCTGAGCAGCAGTGGGCCTTTCTTTTTTAAACCTGATGGGGCATTTAAAGGTCACCTATTATGCAAAATCCACTTTTTCATATCTTTTCTACATCAACATGTGTCCCCTCTGTGTAAAGAGATTCTGAGAGTTTCAGGGAAAAAGATTCTCTCTCTTTTTATCCTGATCCATTTATATAAAAACTGAGCTAATCAGACATCGGCCACTTTATGATGTCATAACGATTTTTTGGCTTGTGTAACCATTAGCCAATCAGCAACC